AACAACCATGCACACTCACTCCTAAGGGCAGTTTGGAGTGTCAAATCAACCTAACATGAAGGTTTTTGGAGGGTGGGAGGAAGCCGGAGAACCTGTAAAGAACCCACCAGACACAGGGAGAACATGCAGACTTCACACAGAAATGCCCTGGTTCCCCCGGGGACTGGATCCTAGAACCCTCTGGCTGTGAGGCAGCCACCGGTGGCCATTTGTGGGGCTGTCAGCTCTAAAGTGCGTCTTCATCTCACAGCCGAAGACTCAACCAACAGGTTTCAGTATCTGATTTGAGCTAAAAAATGTCAAGTTCTAACCTGAACCTCCCGATCTTATTTAGCCTTCTTTGCTTGGGAAAACTGCTCGCTGGACATCCCATCATCTCTTTAACCAAAAAGGATGAAAAGCACGTGCAGAGACGCTGTCACAGGGACTCGCTTTAGTGTCGTCAACCAGTCCAGAGTCATCCCTCAGCCTGCCACGACTTAAACCTACACATGACAATCATCAGTTTAACACAGAGCCCGGTCCAACAACACCAGCTCGGATCACAGTAATACACTTAACTCAGAAGTGAGCAACAGCATCCCAGCTTTACTACGGTGAGAAGCCCTGACGTGCGCATTAAGTGCTAAATCTACTTAAAGGGCAGAGCGAGTGAGGCGTGCTAAAGGTAACGGGAGAGGCAGCGTTCTCGGAACTGACGAGTCTAAAAGATGTCTTGGGAGGAGGAGATGGGCACCCCGGCTTTAAAGGCCTTTGCCAGCCTGCTGTCAGGGGAACCAGGGGGTGGAGAGAGGGCCCACCGGGTCCGGATGACCTGCCGGCGGCTTTAGCGGCGTGAACTGGACCGGAGCTGACGAGATTAGCAAACCGACAGAGATATTTCCTCTTTTTCGTCCTCGAACGGCGACATTCCCCGCTTTTGCTTTTTTTCGGCAGCGCAGATGCTGAACAGCTGGCTGCGGGTTCACCTGTGTGACCTGCCGACGCTGCCTGTGACATCATCAGCTGAGTGGTTGCCAGGCTACAGAAACAACACTGGACGGAGACCTCTGAGGGCTTCTACCACACCTTCCCCTCTGCTCCACCCTCCTACACGTCTGTGGGCTGAGTCATGTTTTATTTAGCTATCCATCCATTACAGGAGCCTATCTTTAAGACCAATAAATACTGCAGAGAAAACATTTCCCAACAGGGATTACTGAAGCATTAAAACTCATCAAATACATTCCAGCTACTACAGGATATCAATATCAATCAATATCCCGGGAGAGTTACTTAGAATTTACTTGGAAGTGTAACAATTTGAACATATTTTAGCTTAGAAAAGCAATCGGACTGAACCATCTTATTTAAAGTAACACAACTTTGTTGGCCGGTGAGAAAACATGACAACTCGGTTACCCTCAAACCTGATTTTTATTCATTTCTCTGCAGCGGTCCACGACGTGAGACGACAAGTTGCCTGAATTTTTTTATTCAATCGCCTTTTACCCCGGAGTAAGAACCTCTGACGTCTCAGTTAAGGCGCGCGGAACCTCGATATGATCATGTTTGCTGGCTTTTGCTCCATTTGTCCCGCAGCAGAGTTGACATCGGTCCTGTTAATCCACCAGGACTTTTGGCTCAGGATCCAGTGGGTCTCATGTGATCATCTGATTGCTTTAACAGTTTACCACAAACTGTGTTTTAAAGGAGGTTAAACCTGTTAACACACGCCACTGAGAGGTCTTCCCGCAACTGGCAGAACAGTGTTTACCTATGAAATGAATCCAGGTTTAATTATTTACTTTGTTTGAGGCATCGCGCCCTAAAAAATGTGCAAAACCACTCCCAGTGAATGTCTTTCATGTCTTTCCACCCCATTTTAGAACCAATATTTGCTCTTCAGGTGTTGAAATTGACTTATTTGCGTTTGCGCTTTTTTTAAGGTATTTGCTACTTTTCTGTTGGATTATTGTTGTTGTTCTTTTTATTGTGCAGCAATCTTATCAGCATCGGTGCTGGAGCTCGATCCAGTCAATCCCCTGACAGAACCATTTTTTCATCACAGACTAAATCCAGATGTTGGTGGGCGTTAATTAATTGTAGCGGAAAGATACAAAGCTAATTAGGATTTTTAAAAATGTCGAAATCTATTAATTATTTTTTATTTAAACTTAGATTCATACATATGAAGTTACAACTAAGAACAGAAACATTGAGGTTTTTAAATACAGTCAGTGTGGGTCAGTTATTTCTTCTGACTGCCACTTAAAGTGTCCCACTGCTCAAAACCCGCCCGTTTGTTATGGGAACAGAGCCTCTGCTCGTTTGACCTTGAATCTTGTTTGAAATTTTGGGCAGGTCTGAAGAATGGCAGGAGGATTGGCCTCAGCCTGCCCACAGATCACCCAGCGTTCACGGCTCAGTGACGTTAAACAGCTCCACAACTGGCCACAAAAAGCAAAACAGCTTCTGCTGACAAAAGACGATGTTGTCCTTGTTGGTGACCGAGTGTTTTAAGGCTCTTTTTAAACCATCACATTAGCCCTTCGAGTGCCAGTGGTTTACTCTACAGATCAACTCCATCAGTCCGGATGAATGGTGGCAAATACACAATTTTTAAGGTTCAAAGTTATACCTCTGACAACCGGCCCAAAATCCAAAGAGTTTCTGATACAATCTTTCTAAATACAAATTCTAAGGTTTTCTTTTTTGTTGCTAAAAACTCCTGGCGTTAAGAGTTGTTTATTTGAGCCCGTGTCCACAGCTCTGCATCATTACCTGCAGCACCAACACTAAAAACCACCGGCGGCGGCGTGCGGCGAATGCAAAGCAGCGCCAACCACTCCGAGTCCCCGCCGCCACATCTGACCTCTGACCTAAATAAGCACAAGCCAGCGGAGGTCAGGAATGTGGGGCTCCTGAGCTAACGGTGGGAATATCTGGGAGCTTGTGCTTTGTGTACTCGCACAGCGTTCTGGAAACTCGAGCCTGGTTCTGAGCGAGCGGCGTCCCCCTTCTCAAAGCGGTGGGAGATCCACAAAACATCCCAGTGACAGACAGCTGACACATTCCTCCGGACCGAGGTCAGGCCAGCGGCGGAACATCCTCCTCCCTCCCTCCCACCCTCCCTCCCCCCGGGGGTCGCCGGGAGGCCCCCTCTGAACGGACGCAGGACGCAAAAAGGCCAAATCCGACGCGCAGCCCCAGTGAGGCAGCATTCGGCAGTTTTCCAGGTGAACCCGGTTCTGGAGAACCTCCCCCGGAGCCCCCGGAAACGCGGACAGCTCTGAGGGTCCGTCGCATCCACCCCGGTTTATTTTTGGGAGGGACAAAGCAGGCCTGGCTTCCACTCCAGGAGAAATGTGTCACACATTGATTAGCTCCCACAATTTGCGCTCGTCAGTGCTCACTAAGTGTTCCTTCCAAGCCATTAAACACAGCATTTAGCTTCTCCCGACCTGAAGTTTCCAAACCCTGAGGGCTCTGCGGCCTCTCTGCCTGCAACTCCCTGTTTTAAAAAAAAAAAAAAAAACTTTTCTCAAGACTGAACAGGCATCCGCACAATCTGCTCCATTATGACAAAGCACAGGCAGATTTGACATGTCCGTATTTGAAAAAAAACTTCCTCTTACTCAGAATTAGAGCGGTTTCATTTATCTCGGTGGCCTGATTGATAAATTGATTGACTTGCATAAGTTCAGAGGAGCACGTCCGCACAGCTAACCTTCAGCAGACCTCGCCGTGCTTTTTGTGGAACGCGCGCGTGAGATAAGGACTCCAGGGAGACGAGAACGAGAAAGTCGCCTTCCTCAGATGATATCAGTCGGCGTCGATCTCTCCCTGTAATTGTCAGGCGAATCTGGAGCAAACTTTTGACACGCTACTAAAAATAAAACACGGCTCGGGCGCGTTTCCATTAACTGCTTTGTGTAGACAATGAGGTCTACGTCAAGCGGGACTTCATCCATAAGAAGGGGATGTGTAGCCGCCCGCGCGTTACCGGAAACAGAACCATGATGGATCACCTGCAGAGCACAACACCCTTTTTTTCAGGGGGGAAAAAAGGCAGTTTCCATCCATCATTATATCCATCAGTTCCTCCGTAATACATGACAAAGTATAAATGTCAGGTTTGTTTGTTTTTTTTATAATGGGAAAGAAAACCATCTCTTTCAACCAGATCCAGAAGTTTCTGAACCCGATAGCTGCTGCGTTTGCTACACTTTCTGCAGCACGTGAGCCGTCCAAAGCCCCCTGATAATCACTTTTGCTGTTGTGCATAACAAATAAAGCATGAAATCCTCATGTGAAACACACGCCTGCTTTGCTTTACTCTAAAAAAAACATAAACCAGCTGCACACACTCATTTCACCGTCAGCAAGGGATACAGTGAAAATCTGAAAGTGGAGATTTTGGCGCTTGGGGCGTGCAGTCCCATAAAAACAAACCTCATCTGATCGGGTTTCCACACAGTGGCCACTTTATCACGCTGGGGGCCGGCCAGTGTGTGACCGGGGGCACAAGTGTGGTTATTTCTGTTTGGTCTAATCAAAAGCTTTGTGTTTGTTTGATTTGATTTACATCCCACTTGTCCTCCTGGCCTCCTGCTCAGAGATCAGCCTGGAAGTGTTTTGGTTTGGTTCAGCCTATTTTCTGTGGTCAGACTCACAATTGCGAGTGGGCCGCCCTGGAATGAATCAAAAAGTGAGTAAACTGTCATCTCCAGAAAAAGCGTGTTTGGGTGTAATGGATCCTAAACTTGGAACTGGTGACAGGCTGGCTTTGCTTTTTTACAGGCACAGCCCAGACATGTGACACATTTAGACATGTGGTTTTAAATCATTTTGCTCCATTACCAGCAGGGAAGTTCACTTCCAGCCTTTGTAACTGAGCAATTAAAAGCTAAGCAAAAAGTTTTGTAATTACAGTAACAGCCATGTGGGGGAATCTGAAGGGGGGGGGGGGGGGTCGCGGAGGCGTGCAGTCAGACCTGTGGAGTCTAATCTCGGCCTTTTCAAATCCCCGCGCTCGCGTTGGCCAACTTACCCTCCAGCGTCACCTCTTTCCCGGCCTTCTTCAGCGCCTGGACCGCCATGTCGTGGGTCGCCTCCCGGAGGTCGTTCCCGTTCACCGACAGGATGGCGTCGCCCACCCGGAGAGCCCGGCTCTGGTCCGCAGCGAGCCCCGGGAAGATCTTGGAGATGAGGATGGGCATCCGGTTCTCTCGCCCCCCCTTGATACTGATCCCGAGCCCGCCGGACTCTTGTTTGACAACTCGGACTTTCCGCACGGCTTCCGAGGAGCCGTCCAGACTCACGGGGAAGTCGCCCTGCCTCGACCCGAAGCTTGACCCCGGACTACCGTAGCTGGAGCCGGGGCTTCCGAAGTCAGAGCTGGAGCCGTTATTTGGGTACTTCCCGGGGCTGCTCACGCCGTAGTTACCGTCGTACTGACCCCGACCGACGCCCCCGCGCCCCGGGCTGCCGCTCCGACCCCGGACGACGTGGTTCTGGTTCTGAAGTTGGTCTTGACCCGGAGCGGGACCGCGGGCGGAGTTCCCGAGGCTCGGACCCGGGTCGTTTCCGTTCGACATGCCATTTCGCAGGCCACCCGGGGAGCAGTCCCAGTGGTTTCCCCCCGGCCCCGACGCCTCCGCCTCGGCCGTTAACGTCAACGTTTCGCGCGTGAGCTCGGCCGCCACGCGGATCCAACGGTCGCGGAGCAGCAGGTCCAGCTGGCCGTTCTTGTCCGCTCGGGTCCAGATTGCCATTCCTGAACGGTGTTAGCCTGCTCCGAGGCGGGCCGCTCTCACACTGAACTCATCACCAACTTTTTTCCTCTTTTTCAGAGTGCGCACAAGCAGCGACTAGGCGGGGGTGGGGCGCCCCGGCCCCCCCGCCCCCCCCCCCCCCCCCGGGGGGGGGGGGGGGGGGGGGGGGGGGCGGAGGGGGGACGGAGGGGCTCCGGGGCTGAACGCGGGGAGAGGAGGAGAACCAGCGACCGTGATGGGCCAGCCTCGGAGGGCTTGTTGTCGAGTTCAGGCTGTAAAGCTGTCCAACTTGTGGCGGAAAGTTTACGCCAACGCAACAGCGGAAATGCCGTCAAACCCACCACAATAAAGCACATGCGCGTTTCTTATAGAAAAAGGTACACGTCAGGAATTCGGTTGCGTTCAGTTTATTTGCACATCAGATTTAATCTCAGGGCAGCTCAAAGATACAATCTAATTCAAAGCAAAAATATTAAAGATTCCAGTTTAAGTAATCAAAGCCAGAAGAATGAATCCAAACCTATTTAATCCCTCCTCCTGAGCACTCACAGGGTGACAGTGGACAGAAAAGATATTTTAACAGGAAGAAACCTCCATCAGGATCAGGATGGGCCCCATCTTCCTGACTGGGCTACACTGGCCCACATCGGCTGGGGGTTGAGAGGACAGGAAATAAGGGACAACAATGATGTTACACACACAAGGAGCAACCTAAAGCAGCAGAACTATAATATAGTTCAGGTTCACCTGAGCCATCCCAAACTGTAAGCTTTACCAAAAAAGAAAGTTGGATGCATTAAATGTAGAGAGAGCGTCTGCTTCCTGAACCCAAACTGGCAGCTGGTTCCACAGAGACTGACCTGATAACTCAAGGCTCGGCCTTCCTGTTCTACTTTTAGGAACTCAGGAACCACAAATAGCCGTGCAGTCTGAGAGCACGGAGCCCCACAGAGAAAAAATCCAAATGACTTGAAATTATGACGGAGCTTGCTCATTAAAAACTTCAACTTCGAATGTGATATTAACAGGGAGCCAGTGGGAAATTGTTGCATTCACTCAAAAAAAAAAAATCCAAAATAGTCAAAAGCATGTACTTCGGCAAAGTGCATCAATAAATATCAAACATGAAGGTATTGAGTTAATAATAATAATACTTTTCATCCAGCCAAACCAGAGGGAACTAAGCTGTTAATATTACAAAGAAGACAATGACACAGTAAAACAGTAAATAAAAACAGATAATAAAATCATCAATGTAACTTATATGAATTTTTGCATGAGATGGTGCTTTTTCCAATTGCCCCACAGGGATAAATAAGATTTACTCTGATTGTGAGTGATCTTTGAAGTAGTTTTAAAACTGCTGGAGATCAGGTAATTTTTTAATGTAAAAAGGCAATAATCACAATAGATGGGCCTTAAACTAAACCTTCACATAAAGGAGTTAAGAAATGCACCATCTGCTCCATCTAACTGACCTATACACTTTAGCTGGTTGTCATCTAGTGTCATAAGTTTACATTTTCTGAAACTGTGAAAGTTACTGGACAACAAGACCATACCTCTAGATCTGAAACCCTTTAAAAGGTTTAACAGGTTGCTATTGTGGAAGCATAATCAGCCTTTTTCCTGTTCAGGTCTAAATGTCAGCAGCTTGGCTTCAGCCGGCTTGTGTCTGCAGAGTGAACCCAGAGCTGATGACAGCAGGAGACAGCCAATAGACCTGTGGATTATTTATTCATGATGGGGAGGCGGAGCCTTTTTGCAAGCATTATTGATCCAGAGACTGAGTACAAAGCCTTCTTAAGTTCACTCGCTGTAGTCACTCTATTAATGGATACTCCTGCTGCCTACTGTAAAGGTCCATAGCTGCTGCCTGGGGCTCTGATTTGATCAACTTTCTAAAAATGTCTTAGATCTAAATTAATATCTATGCAGTGTATGGGTTTCATTGTAAAATGGGACATTGAAAACATTAGTGTAACACTCCATGCTCTGGTTTTTAATATTTTGGTTTCATGGTGTGTCTTCAGAAACACTAATGGGAAATAAACACTTCATTAATTAAATTTGATACTTGGGTACTTTTAGCAAAACATATCAATTTAGGGACCTACAGACAACTGTTGTCATATAAGGCTTTGTTTACATTTTAGAACATGCCAACGGTAGAGTTGTAACTTAAAGTTAAAAATCTCGGCCATCAGGTTATCTGAACCAGTCAGATTTACGAATATTTTCATACCTACTAAAAAAACTGAGGAGCATTCAAAAGTTATAATAATCTGCATCACTTTTTTGGTTTTCATGAGTATTCTGAACAAAATCAATGTATCGTTCTAATGTATTACCCAAATAACTCCTGTTGGTAATTAAAGTCTCTGAAGACACCTTCAGTCTGATAAACATTTTCATTAATTTGCCTATAAAAGGATTAATTTTAGGGGGAAACCAGAGCAATGGAATTTGTGGAATCCAGCCTTTTAGTGCCATCGACTTTTAGAGGCTAAAAAGAAACAGTTGTGATCCAACAGTGAGATCCGCAGTGATTTTTTCCACCCCAGTTATTCCCTCCTCACAAAAGGGGGTCCGACCCATCTGCTCTCAGATCCGACCCTGTTGGAGACGAGTCCTGCTGAGTCAGCTCAGTGAGCATTTTACCAGGCGGCCTGTTTACCCTCATTAATTTTCTATGGAAGAAGCTGATGCCATACAATTCTGCTTATGGATGAGCACCACGCTGATTAAGTAACAAATGGTCATTACAAACCAAAAGTTGGGCTTCATGAATTAAGATTTGAGGTCCAGCAGCTGGTAGAAGCTCCTAAATCAGCAGTAAGTCGATTTTTGGGTGTCGTTGTCAGTCTCTGGAGGAGTTTGGTCCCTCTTTTCTCTCCATCGTTGCTTCAGCTCTCTGAAGGTCTTCACAGCATTCAGTCAGGCGGAGGTCTGGTCTCTGGCTGGACCCTTCAGCTCCTGGATTCTGGTCTTTTTCAGACTCTCTGTTGTGGATTTGGGGTCTTTGTCCTGTTGGTGGTCCAGTTTCAGCCCAGCATCAGCTGTGGGACCGACGGCCTCACATCTGACTTACTTATGTTTTCCTGAGGCTCAATGTCTAAACAAAACAAACATTAAAACTCAAAGATCCAGCGTTGCGTTTGTTGTTAGATTTTATTGCAGCTGAGGTTTGCTTCATGTCTACAAAAAACCAGGGCAGATTGCAAGCGTCCGCGGGGAGTGTGAGAGGCGGGGGTTTGGTCTGCTCGCTCTTCATGCTGCGTGGGTTAAAAGGTGCAGCTTCACCCGGTTACATTCACAGTGTCGCTGCCATCAAACCTCCGTCTGGACTACACAAGCTTTGCAAAAGAGGCCTCGGTAGCAGCAGCAGCAGCAGCAGCCGTTTGTTACAAATCCCTCTTTGGGCGGGTAAAAATAAACAATGCTTTGCTGCGTGCAAGCTTTTAGTTTGATCTAAGATACATTCATGACAAAAACAAGGCGATCCCACAGAGCTGAAATGCTCATGCTGTGCTGCACAGCCTCACCGCCCACCCAGCCCCGCTCCGCCCTCACGGACACCCTCAGCCTCCACTGCTGACCACACAGAGGGCTCGTCTCAGTAAAACCCCACTCAGTGAATCGTGCAGGTGTGTGTGCGTGTGTGTGTGTGAGTGAGGAGGGGGTGTGATGAGGAGGACGATGCAGCTACGTGAAGAAGCAGACGTGGTTCAGAATCAGCAGAATCCGCTACAAAAGCTTCGATGCCGCTCCAGAAAAATTTCTCCTACGTTCAAACATGTCATAACAACCATTAAATGATGCATTTAATGCTCCAACCCAGCTTTTTTTTTTAAAGAATCTAAAGCACCTCACTGGATTATATGTTTCATTAGTGTTTAACTGAATCGGCTTGTCTCTGTGAGCCGGGCCAGGACCCGGCAGAACCCCCACAGAACCAGAGTTCCTCTGTGGATGTGCGCACGGTGTGCTCAGTGTCTGTTGATCTGCTCAGTGGTTCGCGGCGCCGGGCGGCGGGGGGGCGCGAGGCTGTGGGTGGGGGAACGCCTCCAGGTGGGACTGGCGCTGCAGCTGGGGTCTCTGGGCGCCGGCCGCCGCTCGGGCCTCCCTCTTGGGGGTGTTGTTGAGGATGTCCAGGCTCCGGCGGCTGGAGGAAATCACGTCGGCCACGAACTTGGTGCACTCGGCGCAGACGTCGCGCAGCGTGCAGCCGTGGGCGTACAGGTGGGGGAACTCCTCCTCCACCGAGCGGCGGGACAAACTGCGCAGGGACCTGCGGGCCGACACAGACGATGAGAGGGGGAAACGTCTTATAGCTGCTGAAGATGCTTAAAAAGGTACCTGGTGTATGTCAAAAGACCTGTCTGAAAACCCACAGACCTGAGAGTGTCAATCTGTTTGACCATTATGATGAAAACTGAAACCTTTCTAGAGGTGGTACAGTCCTCTGTGTGAGTTTAGAAAGTTTGGAAATTTAAATAATTTCTTGGAGTTTAGCTGCTCAACAATCTGAGCCTCTTTTTCCTTTTTTTGTTTTTATAATGATTAAATCCCCAACTATTGATTCTATTGATACAGAAATGTGTTGACATATTTAAAGTGCTTTAAATCTATATTTCTTTATCTCTGCTTTAGTTTCTTTCTGGTGCCTCGGTGTTCTGACTTAATATGTTTGTTTTAATTTGGAGCTCATTAGAGCTGGCCCCTCGGACGAGACACACACACACACACGCTGCGTCCCAGCTGTGGCAGTACGCCAAGAATCAGGAAAACATCTGGAAAAGGGACCAGAGACTTGATCTTTTTAATCTCATTTAAAGAGATTAAAACAGAAACAACGTGGTAAAGCAACGGTGGGGGGGGTGGAAAGATTACGGACGGCTTTTCTGGTAAGAATAACGCAAACATTGGCCGTTATAAAACCCACTATTTTTGTCATCCAAGCAGCGCAGTCGGTTCTTAACACCAAACCGTAGCAGCACGCTTTATTTGCCCTACTGGAAGCCGACCGCGCTCACACAGTCACAAGTAGGGAGGATAGTAACGACAGCTGGGTAATTATTATTACATAATGGCTGCTTAGAGGCCTTAGAAGGGACTCGGCTCTGATTATGTAACAAAAGAGCGGAGGGTGGGGGAGGTGGGGACGGGGTGGGGATTGGTCTGAATAGGAAATCTTCTCCAGCCTAAGCAGAAACAGCCCACATTTCTGCTTAGGCTGGAGAAGGTCAGCAATCACTGGCCTGAGGGAGGGGCATGCGTAAATGGGTGTGACCAGAGTTTATTGCTCCAGGTGATTATCTGTCACTGGAGAGAACCAGTTTGTTGATCAGCTTGGGGGGGGTACTGATTTTACATTAGACAGTTTTTCAAATAGAGGACATTTTTGTTCTTTTTTGGTTTTCCATATTAATCATATCTAACAGCCTTAAAAATACAAAATGTCGATATTTTTAGTAAAAACTGAAACTGTGCTAAGGACGCTTAAAAGGAAAAAAAAAAATTCAATAACGATGTCCCAAAACAAGTAGAAAAGAACCAAAAGCTGAATTATAATGACTTCCTGTTCATACATTATTCAGAGAGCTAGCTAGATATACACACTAATTGTTGATAATTGGTGTGACCTTTAGAGGTTTAATTGTAATCATCTTCCATCAAATCAACATTTTATTTAGGTGTACAGAGAACCCTTTAATTTGCCTTTGGTACCCTCTTAATGTAGATAAACATGGACAGTAGAAAGATTCCTTATGAATAAAAAAATAACGGTAATAAGACCTTATGAACACTCTAAACATTACATTCAATTGATGCTTCAGATTTCAAAAGCTTAAATGAATCTCATTGGCAAAAAAAAATCTAAATACGGTAATAAAGTTTTGGATTCAAAACAGCCAAGGTTTAGATGATTTTCTACTTAAATCAACGAAAAGATCATAATTGTAACTTGGCTGAGTTTATTTTTCACAATTTCCACAGTGCTGCCAGGTGAGTCGAAGGTAAATATGAAATAAATATTGGCTAATTAGGCATATTGACGGAGGGGCGCTCTATACTAATGGAAAGTGTCTTTACAGATCGATGAGGATTACTTTTTATTTTTTGGTTTAAAAAACCTTTTTGGTGTTCATTCACTCTCCCAATATGACAATGTCATAACCTCAAATTTAATCAGTAACGTAAATCAACAGGTCAAAAGTGGAATGTAAGAACTGCTTGTGAGAATCTGGCCTCTTGAGTCCCCAGATGGCCTGATAATATAAAGTCCATTCTGCTGGTAGTCTAACTGGAAAGCCACGGGAATCAATCAACCCTCCGATGTACAATTAATTAATTATTTAATTTATCATCAGAAATCTGGATCATGAATGTATTTGGGCCAGCTCTAATGAGATATTTAAAATAAGTCTCAATAATCTTTAAAATGAAAAGCAATCACTCACTTATACACTTGACTTTTGTGTCCATGGCTCTTTGGAGTGCTGTGGAAGCCCACAGTGTACACAGGAATATGGGCCATCTTCTTGGAGGGGATCTTCATCTTTAGGGGGGGAGGTGAGAAACAAGAGGCTTTCACAAATATTCAGACAGCCCACATGAATGTAACAAACCCAGCAGGGATCGCACTCACAGCAACATAAAAACTAAAACAAATTTCAGCAAAACACACAAAAGTCTGAAAACACCGACACGCCACAGCAAAACACACGGCACAATCAAATGATAATAAAGAAGCAAGATCCAGACCTAAAGAGCACAGAACCACACATCCAACACGGGCCGGGACTGAAGCAACAAACCAAAACCGACAGGAGGACATAAGAAGTAACGTCAACAGAGGAGCAGCCAGCTGTTCCTTAAGGCTAATTCAACATCCTGTTCATCTGTGCACCATAAATTCCGATGAGAAGATTAAGCCTCTCCTATGTCAATTACTTTTAACCAATCTGATCTAAAAAAACAAAAAAAAACAAGGGTCTGTCATATATTCAGTCATATATTCAGAATCTGAGTATCTCACAGTTTAAATCAGAAAGTAACTCGGGGGCCACACACTGGGGGGGTGCTTATAAATACTCAGTTTTACGTTATGCTGCAACATCCCTAAATAAATCCCTAAACAAATAGTATAATTCCGAAGTGTTGAAGTTACCTTTGCACTGCAGGCCCCACAGACTGACCTGTGAGAGGGACAGAAACAAATTAACAAGGTTCTTAGTGCTCTTTAACGGGAACTGTTGGTTAATCCTTAATTTTTCATCTCTAATCCTCCACCTTTTAGAGTACAGTAGAACCTCTACATACAAATTTAATTCATTCCAGGACCTACCATGTTGGTTCAAATATTCCCATAAGAATACACTGTAATTCCTATCATTCATTCCACAGCCCAAAAACCTAGATAACTCCTTAATAAATACTGCATATAATTACCCATAGCAATAAAACAAATGCATTATATAACATAGGTGTAAAAAGAAATCAGTTATAAAGAAATAATAAATAAAAATGTTTTTTTATTGGTGAACAGAGGTAGAGGTGGAGACTGAGATATAGGATGTTCCATAACTTACTCTCACTTTCACTACGTGAACTTTAAACTAACTTAGCTTATGTTTAGCCAATCATAGGTACAGGTTTTACTGTACATATCAATCATCAAGCTCTGTGGCTCTAATAAGTCATTCAATCAGTTGAACGTCCCTCGTATGTATATGTACAGTAGCTGTGTGGTAAGTTTCTTAACTGTGTGAAGATTCAAGATGAAAATGTTTTAAATGAACTTCTTTATAGATTGGGTTAAAGAAAAATGTGTCTAAAAAGTGTCAGAATAGTTTGTTTCTTATCTTTTATAAGCATTAGTTGTGAAATTAAATTGAAAGGGACTTGCTTAGAAATCGAACTCTTGGATCTTTGTGTTTGGCAGTGATTCAGAACATCACGTAACACTTTGAGCCGAGTCGGGCGAGAGGATGAAATACACTGGAAATATTTCTGGTGGGAAATTCTTTTTTTTGTACCTTTTGCACAGTAAGCAGGTAGAGGGCCAGGAGAAGAGGGGAAATTTGACTCTGCAGCAGCAGCAGACCTGAGGACACAGTTTGGAGTCAACACGCTGACATCTGGAGACTGGAGACTGTGGACAGTTGTCCACTGGTACCTTTCCTCTCTTCAAGTTGTTGTAGAGCTCTTTGTTCTGAAGAAACTTCTCCATCTCCGCTTTGACCAGCACTCGCCGCACATTGATGACCTCGTCCACCGTCAAAGCCAGACTCTCCACAGGGTGGCTGAACTCCTCCTACATGCAGCAGGAGGAAAGCAGAAACTCATCAGTTTGTCTGAATACTCATCACTGGAGAGTAGGAATGGTTCATAATGGCAAAAAACATCTTCATCAAAGCCAGGTTAAATGGAAAATTCAAATCATAGAGTTTTAAAGTTTTTTTATAAGATATACTTTGCCACTTATAGGAAGGAATCTATACGCTTCAATGGAAGCATCTTAATTTTAAGATGTATTTTAACTTAAAATAACACGTTCTAACACGATATACTAAAAATGTATATCAACGTGTTAGAAACACACCTCCACTGGAGAGAGGTGGAAATAATCTAGTGACTCTATCTTAGGAAATTAGGTTTTAGGGGCAGGAAAAGGAGGCAAAAGAGTGGATTTGCAGCATCCTGTGACCTGACACAGAGGAGAGAACCATCTCTGACTCTGCTGTGATTTTATCTCACCATCCACTGGTGCTTGTCTTCATGCCTGGAGCCTGAAGTCGTCTCTGGTCCCTCTGTGGCCTCATCAACCGAACTCAGAGACAGCCGAGCGGGAGAGGGCGGCACCCAGCCGTGAACTGGGAAAGAGGCTGGGATGTGGAAACGGATTAAAAGTCAGAGGGAGGAAATGATGAATTAAATAATACAGGATCAAATGAGAGCATCAGAGAGTAAACGAGAGAAGCCACAAATCCCGTCTAACTAGTCCATGAATTACACATCAGCCTCTTTCATTTAACCCACTCTGAGTTCTCGGCCCCTCGGAGTGTTTGTCGATCGACTTCAGTGCCGCCATACATTATTAATCTGATTCCAGTGGTGAGATTCGGCTCCTGCTGCCACATCTGTAAGTCAGGTCGCAGGCAGCCAGAGCTCTGCTCAGGCCCTGCAGGCCGCCCACAGCTGACTCCTGGGTCCTGCTCAGGCTCACACCCTCAGGTTCAGGAAAAGGGCCCCCCTCCTGTCAGAGTCGTCCAGCACACCATCAGCCTCCATCCTGACATCACCCGTGTGGCATGCAGCTCTGTGGATCGTGTTGCAGCCGTCCGGAGGCCAAGAATGGACTGAAGTCCGGATCGATTTTCAAACAATTACCTCAGCGTACGGGCTAATGTATGAGTCATAAAAGACCTAATTTACTTTGCAGGGGTTTCATGCAGCACAGCCATTAGCTTCTACCCCTCTTTCAGACTTTATCAGCACATCTTTATATTTAATTAGAATCCATCAAGAGTCTCTCAACAGCTTTGTGGCAGATGTGAGTCCCTGTCAGCCCTCTGCAGCAGAGCCCTGATCGGGCTCCGATTTCAGGCAGGTAAAAGGAATTCAATGAGGCGTGCGCTTCAGGCTGCGACTTCGGAAGTAGTGGCGACAAAATGTCTCCACGCCCGCTAAATCATTACAAGGACCTGAGGGTCGGAAAGCGAAGAAATATGGTGACGTTTTTAGAGACATCAGAGGAGGAACTTTTAAATGCGATGCAACATTTTCTCCGTGAGGACTGGGAGGCAGAAACCTGTTTTGTCAAAGATCTGAGTGCACTATTCAAGAGTGTTTCTTAACTTAATGAGCGTTTATAATCAAAGTTCAAGCAAAACATCTTTAAAAATGTGTCTTACTTTGCTAAGAAGAGGGACGGCTACAGGTGATGATTTTTTCTGAGAACTTTATAAACATGTGTTCATATAAAGTTTAAAAAACTGGTGATTTTTTTATATGCAGATGATTGGTGCAATACTGAATATTTGGACTATATTAAGCCCAGCGAACAGTCCCTCCCAGATCTTTATGTGCCTCTGCAGACTCATTAGCATCTCAGCCTCCTTCATGAATACATCAGCTCCTCAACAAGGAGGAGAAAAACAGTCTGCTCTTTGTCTCCCTCTGAAGGAGGAAAATCAAAACTACACAGATCAAATCAACAGGAGAGAGTCTGCAGTCGTCTTTAAGGAGCTGCAGCTGTGTTTCAAAAGGACTCAAGCATACAAATTCATGAATGCTGGTGATTGAAAAGCAGCGTTTAAAACCATCTAGCTTTTTGTTTGATCAGTCCCATGTTATGCTGGTGGTTCCTGTTTGTGATCTCTACAGCTACGGCCTGTGTTAGTTCAGAAATGAGGGCGGCGGATGGCCAGGCTGACCTCTGTACAGAGGAGGCGGCCCGGTGCCCGTCAGCGTCCTGGAGCGAGGCCTCACATCCCGCAGTCTGACCGCGTCGCCCAGCTGGGCCGACTCCGACAGAGAGGGAAGCATCTCCCCGCGGAGCAGGGCCAGGTCGTGCTCAGAGAAGGACCGGTCCCTCTTCAGAGGTGTGGGGGAGCTCTCTGCCCTCCTCAGCTCGCCGCTGTCTGAGGACTCTTCCTCCTGCCGCGGTTCCAGGGGAGAGGTCAGATCGGAAAGGTTGAGACAGGAAGGACGACAAAGACAGACAGTAAACACGTCACTCCCCATGTGAGTGAAGCAGGAGGAAGGTTCAGTAAGAGGACATGGTAAAAAAAAATCAGGAGTTGTGGGAAAATATTATTTTTTCCTTACACCTTACACAGTGTAGGAATTCCTCCATCTAACGGAGAAATTGTATTCTGCATCCTAACAAATCATGCTCTCTATAGCGTCCGTTTTCAAATGGGTATTGCAGCTACGGTAGCCGTCATGCATCCAGAAGTAATGACAACATGACTTCCACATCATCCAGTTTTCTCTGGGAGATGAGGTTTGTAATTTCAAAGAAACTACAAACTGCATTGAATCATTAGTGTGAGCATGTAATTACTCATCTCACTTCTTAGAGCTGGTGACTCTGGCTCTTGAGGAAAACGCCTTGTGGATTAGCCGGACAGGCAGACTAGTGCTTTATGTCCCTCTCTGCCATTATAGTTTTTCAAAATGGCGGAATGCCATGGAAATCTACGTGGAGTTACCCCTCCTGTATATGTACAGATAGGAAATTCTTCCTTATGAGGAGAAGTCAGATTATTGCAGAGGTCATTTTACACCAAATAAGGACACATTTAGAAATGAAGACGATGATTTTAGCTAATAAAATACCTAAAATACTACACAATGTCCCTCTCAGGATCTCTGTGCTGGAGCTCACCTCTGATGTGTTCATCTCCTCCATCTCGGCCAGCGTTGGGGCCTTGAGCAGGATGCGAGGGCGGGATGGCGGCCGGGGCCCGAGCTCCGACACGGACAGGTCGATGCATGACGTAGATTTGACACTGCAAGGGCAGGTCTGAGCCAGACAGGGCAGAGAGCCAAACGCTGAGGGGGAAGAAACAAAAACACCACACAGGATATCAGAAGCACTCAGATGAGATGGCATCGATTCGCTGATCTGCCTTAAGCAGCATTTTAGGATCAGTACATCCTAAAAACATTACTCAGAGACAAACTGTAACTGTAACAAACTAACACATCACAGATTTTCAGGAAAATAACTGAATCTAATTATGTTCTAGGCTGTTTCGTTCTAATATTCAGGTTTTAGGATCTCAACAGCTGCAAGCTTTCTTCTGAGGGTGGAAGATGACAGAAACCAAAATCCTAAACTTTATTGAATATGTGAAAGCTTATTTTAAGGAATGTCAACTGCAACGATTACTGAAGGGATTTCTTTTATTGCAGCGCACGCTGTGTACAACAATATAATTACATCAAATATCAAATTAATAAAAAATGTATCAGTGTCTGAAAGCTGGGTTTTCTTTTGACTTCTCTCTCCTCTGTCAGCCGAACACGGGCTGCATCAGCTGACCTTGGTCTGTAAATAGCCGGTTAATATTTAATGAAATGTGATTCCGCCTCTATATATGCTTGTGTGTCTCTCTAAGAACAGAGCTTAAACTTAAATGAGCCCAGATATTATCTCAAGTGAACAACTACTCCAGTGTGCACCTGCTTCCAGCCCCAGTAGACATACTTACATATTCTGGTTAATGAAAGTTACAGGATTTCATCTATTGCAGGATGTACTGAAGAATAGGTGAGATCTGTGAGGCCTCACCTCTGCTGCTGTCCGGGACCACGGGCCTCAGCTTCCTCTCCTGTTTGATTCCTGCCAAGACCCGGTCATGGAGGCACTGCTGCTGTGGGGGGGGAGGGGGGAGGCTGCGCTCTGAAACCTGATGAGGATGAGAATCAGACCACATCAATTAATTCGTACATTTAACACATCTTAAAACCTCCTGTGCCTAGTTTTGGAAAAGTATTTACCGGTAACAGACACTTCGTAAAGCTGGTCCGAAAAATGTACAGTCATTAACACTACAGATGATTTAACAAAGTGTAGAAAACCAGAGAGAACTGCTATAAATTCAGCACATACACAGAAATATACAGGTAGGGGGAGGAAAACAGTATTCATTTATCATTCTACTGTGTTTATTGTTCCAAAAGAATCTCTGGCTCCGAGTTATGTCTGCCAAACCTACAACCATCTTTACTAAATGTGAGCTTTAGTTTTATCTAAGGCAGCTAAAGAAAACACTGGTCCAGATTTGATTTAAAATATTATTTACTTCTATATTTACTAGTTTAATTAAGAAAAAGACATTCTAATCAAATGTGCTGGAGAACTCTTAAATCTGAAGTTCGCCATCACAGCAAAGAAAGAAAATACCCAGTTTACTGTTACATTGGTTTCATTTTTCATACTGTTGCTGGTGGACAGAATTCACTCACTGGTTTAAGTGGGGGTCTCGATCGGATGAAATCCAGGATCAGTTCATGGGCATTTCTCTTCACTCTGGTGGGAATGTCCCCATCCACCTGGAAAAGCCCAAAAAAGACAAGTGTTGAGCTCTGCATGAGAATCAGAAAACCTCAGTAGAGCTGCAGCGATTGACTTGGCCATTTAAAGGGGAAACAACTCAGCCATGAGTTTGATATGGATTTGGCCTTCTCTTATGTTCCTCCCTCTATGATGACAGTGGTGTAAGGACCATAATCCCTTTTTGTCCATTGTCTGAATTCACAATCTCAATTCCAGGCTTGAGTTGAATCTATATGCCTTTTTGTTTAGAAAAATAAATGCAGAGGTCTCTATTTCTTTCCACTTGCCAAAATATTGGGGTTTAGACTAAAAAACCAGACTGTAATTAGTCGGCATGAAAATACCCTTTTAAATGGGGAAGAGCCATAGACAAGCAGTATGTTTTAGGTTAATTTTTTCACATTCTTGTGGCAAAAAATGTCTAGAAATGACCAGAAAACAGATGGGAGGCCCTCGTTAATATTTGGGTTGTGAAGCTGAATAATGTATTAGCCCACAGAGCAAGTCCAACTTCTTCCTGAGGCACAGGCTGAGCTCTACTTACAGAAGTGGAGCATTCAGGCTCCATGTGATCCCCGTCATGGGAGAACATTTGAACTTTCTGAAAGCATTACTGTCCATCGAGGTAAGGCAAGTTTATTTGTGTAACACATTTCGTGTACAAGACAATTCAAAGTGCTTCACAAAGAATTTAAATGCAGAAAAACAAAGAAAGAAAAAGAATCAACCAAATAAATTAGCTAGACAAAAACTAAAGCGTGCAGGTAAAATATATTCAGTCTCCATATACACAGTTCAACAGAACCGGTTTCAGCCTGGATTTAAACATTGTCAGAGTTTGGGCCTGTCTCATGTCTTCTGGAAGACTGATCCAGATTTTAGGAGGATAGAACTGAAATGGATCCTCCCCTGGTTTGGTTCTAACTCTGGGCCCCATCAAGAGACCACAAGCTGATTCTCAGAGTCTGAGCTGGTTCATACGGCTCTAACATGTCAGAAAGGTTTTTAGGTGCTTGCCCATGAAGAGACTTGAACACAAGCAGAGCTGTTTTAAAGTCTGTTGTCTGAGTGACAGGAACCCGGAGCAGAGACCTGAGAACTGGACTGATGTGGCAGGCAGCTGCTTTTCAGATGAACAGGTTAACAGGCCGCCTAGATGTGCCAACTGACTCCCGTGTTTCCAGTGAGGGCTGAATTTTCTCACTTTTCTGATCCTGTGGTCTTTCAGCAGGTCACTTCAAAAGCTCCTTCTTCCTTGAACGTCACCACAATAATGTTGCTCTCACCATGACTTTGCGCAGCTGGAACTTGCGGGCTTTGATGTCCTGCATCAGCATCTCGAACGGGGTGAGGCTGAACTCGGTGGGCAGTGGGTTAAACGGCTGCTCCTGCACCTTCTTTAGCTTCACCCCCTGCCTGAGATCCTTCATCAGCTGCACCCACAGGCGAGCCTGGGACGGAACAACAGCAACACATCAGTCAGCATGGCATCTCTGCCATCCATCCATCCATCCATCCATCCATCCATCCATCCATTATGGTAACTGGTTATTCCCTAATGGGGTCACAGGGGGACTAGAGCATAACCCAGTAGTCAATTGGCGAGAGGTGGGGTCACCCTGTGCCTCGAGGGCCGCTGTCCTGCAGGTTAATGAAGGACCAACAAGCGCCAAGAACCACACACACTCACACTCACTCCTAAGGGCAGTTTGGAGTGTCCAATCAACCTAACATGGTGGGAGGAAGCCGGAGAACCCGGAGAGAAAACCACCAGACACAGGGAGAACATGCAGACTCCACACAGAAAGGTCCTGGTTCCCCCGGGGACTCCAACCCAGAACCCTCTGTGAGGCAATGGTGCTGACCACCACACCACCGTGCCGTCTCTGGTCAAACACTGCTCCATTGTCCTCTCTGGTGCCCGGTCTCACCCAGTCTTTGTGTTTGAGCGTGTCCAGTTCGGCCGTGGATCTGTCTTCTGGAGCCTCTTCTGTGGATATCTTCTTCAGCATCTGCAACACGGAGCGAGATGGAAAACCTCCATGACTTTACCAGCACCAGCTGAGGTTATTGTGTGATGGCATTTGTAATCATACCAATTAATCAAGTTCATGGATTCAGTAGTTTTAATTCATTATTGCAGAGGGCACATGTACTGATCATGCATGTCTATTTGGGTCCTCTGAGTTTTAGGCAGAGGTCTCAAACCTATAAGATGAGCTACACATATTTGAGAGTTCTTTTTTTTAGAAGAAAAAATCTCATCTCAAGTAACAAACATTTTAGGGGGTTTTAGCCCATATGTATATCTATAAAAACGAAAAACATTTGATCTTCTTTTGTTCTGTGATTGTGTCACTAAATGTGACATAATCTATACAATCAGTCAAAGACATCACAAAAGTGGGTCCTTTCTGCAGTGTCTGTACAAGACATCATGATATCTCACGGATGTTTCCCCACTAAAAATGGCTGAAAAATGGCCCACCATCTGCATATAAAAATGTAAACAGCCTTTGTGCTGTGTTTAAGTTAGACATGCACCAGCAGTACAACGGAACCCTGCAATGACTCAAAAGAAGTCGGATCTGAGGTTGAGAGCGTGGAAGAGGCTGGGAGATGCACACAAACTAAAACAGTCCAGTGAAGTGGTGAAAAGCAGCTCCACCAACGTGTGAGGCTGAACTGATAACCACATACAGGACGTACCTCCTTTGCATCTCTTATCTTGATGAGGAAGGTCTGAAGCTCCATAGTCTCCACAAACAGAGCCCGGCAGACGGCCTGGTAGTGCTCAGGCGCCAGACTTGGGTTGGCCAGGCGAGATGCACACAGCACCATCACCTGGCGAAACGTGCACACCGGCCTTATGGCTTTGCCCTGCTCCTCGTCTTCCTCCTCTTCCTCCTCCTGCCCGCTGTAGCCTTCATCCGTGGTGCTGCTCCCGGTGGTTCTGTGGACCTCTCCGGCCTGGTCCCCGCCGGCCATGCGCTCGATGAGGCGCTCCAGCTGCGGGCTGAGCTCCCTCTCCTCGCTGTCATCCAGGCCCCAGTCCAGAGCGCGGTAGATGGCCACGCCGAGCGACTGGACCAGCTGGGTGGAAAAATAAAGAAAAAAAGAAACCAGCGGTGACGCAGGCTGTTCCCAACAAAACAGACGAACCACTTCAGACAAACCGCACAATAAAAACTAATCATGGTAAAAAGTATGCCACTGTGAGATTGACCAAAGGAGACAATGTTGTTGTAGTTTCTCATGTGACCTGATGGTGGCAGCACTGCTTCAACAGGCTTAAACCGGAACACCTGATCCAGAGGTCTGTCTAAAGGTGAGTCTAATGTCACAGGACATCCTTTTGTTTTGAAAACAGAAGGGAAATGACATGTCCCGACTAGTCTTTGATTTTGATCATATTTCTTGTGTTGTGCTCTGGTTATTTTATTATTCCATATCTCACCAAGGACAAGAAGTAAGCTGGTGAAAGCCTGAAGAAGAAAAGGAAAATACACACATATTGTCATTATCTATTTTTGAGCTAAATTTAATTTTTTTCATTGGATTTATGAGTGAATTTACGAGAAACTTAATGTTCCAATTGTTTTATAATGAAATAATGAATGGACTAATCCTTTTGCATTGTGATTCCTATGGAGAAAATCATTCAGGTTTTCAAACATAACTGTTTGCAAACTAAATAAATTAGATCTAGATGCATTCAAATGTGATTTTTAATAATTTTTTAGCTTTTAAGCAGACGTGAAAAGCTCTTTTACATTTCTGATTCTATCTTCCAGTAAATTTCTGAAATGATGCCAACACAATAGAGAAAAAGACATGGCCGACGAATTTCCTGAAGGGTCAATGGTCAAAGATACGTCACAGCTGAAGTCCCTTTGTGTCTCACCTGACGCTCTGCATTGGGAGGATCAGGAGGCCCGTCAGCACCATCTGGAGAAGCAAGAAGACCCCTCAGTTAAAAAGCAGCACTAAAAGCTCAAAGTCTGATTGATGTTTTCTTATGGGCTGGTTGTGACTTTAAAGCCGCCGTGTTCATGAAGCTGCGGCGTTAGTGAGGAACTCCACACGTCACGGTCTGAGCTCCCGTTTTTGTGTTCAAGTACAGCTTTTGTGGCTGCGTAAGAGAGTTAAGACAAGCCCTTTCTCTGGTCTCAGATGTCTATAATGACACCCGAGAGGCCTGAAACTCCTCCATCAGCAGTTCTCACTGCAGAGAAACAGGAGAGTGGACAAATGAGAGGGCAGCAAAGAGATGAGACAGTTCAACAGAAAAAAAAAGGCTCAGGAAACTGTGTTGCTCTCTTAAGATTTCAGTTGGCAGATGTGTTCGGGGACCAGCTTTAAGAAGTTAAATAGGTGACTATTTAAGCATCTTATCTTTAAAAGATACATTTTATCAACAAGAAAAAGATTACGGCAACAGTAAATAATATTTATTAGCCTTTTGATGGAGTCATTTTAAGATCTGAGGATATTTTGAGCATGATTCGAGGGAAATATTTCATATTTTGCTTTACTTTGAGATTTAAATCATTTGTACTGTAATTAAAGGGTTATGAAACTTTCCTCACAGGTAATTTCAGTATGAACTCTGTGGTTCGGGTGGATTCTTGCCCCATAGTTTGATCAGTGGGTGGTGAAAGGTGTAGTTGGGGGCAAACATCCTCTGTTGTCGGCAGAATGCCGGCAGCTTTATACCAACGGAGTCTCGCCGTGTTCCCATGTCCAACAAAAGAAAGCCATTTTGATGTGCTGGGCACATCCTAAAGGTGATAACACGAAGCCCCGAAAACCTGTTGGACAGGTTGGGATCAAAAACACAGCCTCAGTCACAGACTGTAACCAAAGACAACTCCACCAGTTTCCCACAGTTGCAGCCCAATGAACACAAAGAGGAAACTCTGGGAGGAAAACCTTCCAACGGCCCTGCAGCATAGCTGGAAACACATAACCCAATTTGGCTTCTGTCACCATTTCTCTCCTCTAAAATGCTCTGCTTTTCTCAGTGTTTTTCAAGAAATAAATACTCAGTGAAAACATAAACATGACTTTAGAAATGTTAAAGGATCCTGGTCTTGAATTGGACCATATCTTTGAAGTTTTTTTCTGTGAAGTACATGTAAATTAAACTGAATTTAATTGCAATGTACAGTGTTTGTATCATTGATAATCAACTAAATTATGTCTTCAATTTTGGTAAATTTTTGGGGGTCATTAATAGAAAAATGTCTTTGTTTTTGCCACTTTAAAATCACTTCACATGATTTAGTTGAAATTGAAATAAAAAAAAGTAAAAATCTGTTTTAAATTAATTTGAATTAATTACTAAAAAAAAAAAAAGGTTACTTCTTAGTGGTTCAGAAGCCAAAATTTGACTTTATGCTGTTTTGTGCGGTTGATATAATTTTTGGGCTTTGTTCTGGGTGAAAATGGATGATTTCCTGGTCCACTGAACACACCACGCCCTGACCCTCTCTGTGAAGTGTGGCTATGTGAAGATTCACTTTGAGATAAAGATGATGAGTCATTGTGGACACTAACTGGGTGGAGCACCTCCGTGTTAGGACTGGAACAATATCCAGAATCATCTCTGATGCACAGACAAACATTAATTCATGTATGAAAAAAATGAGATTATTTTTATGCGTTGCACTTGACATCTCTCAACAATACGTAATTGTGTGTGCAACGTGCATTTTATCAACACTTAGCAATACAGTTTCTCTTGGACAACAGTCGATTAGATAAGATCACTGGTTTCATGCCCTTTGCTCCAGCGCTGTTAACACAATGAGCAGCTTCAGTTTGCTTCCATCAGGTGTTTGAATGATCCTGTTTTAAATTTGGCCTCTAAAGCAGGGCAGGAGACGAGCCACTGCCTCGTCTGATGAGTTTTGTGCACACCAGGCACTCTCGGAGGGAAAGAATATCACATTAACCTGCAGCTAAAGTTAGCATCTGGCCTGTTGTGTTGGTGACGCATGAAGGTCGGCGTAGATGCCGCATTTACGATATATTTGATCGTGTTCCATATGGGGGCATTTCAGGTTATTGTGGGGGAAATTTTGTAAACAGTGTTATTGTGTGTTAATTAAAATACATCATCTCTGGGCATATATAATTTCTCTTTGGCTTTAAGGAGAAAAAAGTGATTTGGTCTTACTGCATTAATTTCTTTTAAAAAAAAGTATTTTTCTGAGTGTTAATTATGCAGAGAATAAAGAGTGATTGCAGTCATCAAACAGGAGCTTGATTAAATCTGTGAGTCAAGATTCTGGGAAAAAATAAGCCCGTTTCAGACTGTGTAGAGTAGACTGACAGACAGATGGGTCACCAGTTATAACAGACACAATTGTTTGTTGTGTGATTTCGGTCTTTCAAACCAACATCTGCTAACAACAACAGACACCATCAGTCAGCTGTCCTGAGAGTCTCTCTGCCAACCAGGAGGCGATTAGCTATCCGCTCTTTATTAGCTCATATCTAACGTGGAAAATACTGGAATACTTTGTTCTCATAAGCCTGACACATTTCCTCCATTCACACGCTGACAAACACAAAAAACTCCCCCAGATGGCCTTCAGTTGCCATGGAAATAAGGTCTTGAAAAGCACCAGAGTGACAGCAGAAGAACTGGGCTCAGATGAGCGGGGCTAAGAGAGCACGGGGCAAAACGATGTGGAAACCGAGTGAAAGCAGGGACAGAGAAACCGGCTGCTAGCTGGAATTTCCTCCAACTGAGAGGATACAACAAGGGAATTCACATTATCTGCAGATTTCAGAGGTCATGTAATCTGAGGCGTGTCCCAGGTAAAAAAGGGCAAAGTCTGCAGCTGGCCTGGACTTCTCAGGATAGAGCAGCCTTGTTCGTTCTTTCACCTGCAGCGCAGGCAGAAACTGAGAGGAATGCACAGCCCCCATCTTCCATCCATCAATCGATCGCTCTTCTTCTAAGCGGGGGCACCGGGGGGGCTGTAGCCTTGTCCCAGCATGCCCCAGCTTCAAATCCCAGCTGCTGGGATTCGAACCAGTGACCTTCTTCCTGTGAGGCCTGTTGAAGCCAATGCTGAACTTTTTAAAGCCCAACAGAAGGGAGACCGAACGTTTTACAGGGCGTGACAGCAGGAGTTTTACTTAGGTATAAACATGTGTGACAAATCGGAATTTCTACGACCTGCAAACACAGAAGAAACCAGGAGCCATTCAAGAGAAGAACTTTATGTTGATTCTTATCTAGATTTCAGTCCCCTGTTCAAAGGAACTATAAACAATATCTTCCAAAAGCAATAGATAAGCCTTTATGTTTCCCTGTTTCATCTTCAGTAGCTATAACACGATGGCAGCTGCTGTGAGCCCCCCCCTCTGATCAAGCCTCTCTTTGCTTAAATTTGATATCAAGATAGTTCATACCGAGTTACGATTTAAAGAAAAATATTCAACTTTGCGCCTATAATTTTCAAGCATGAACTCCTGGGATACTTTTATCTAAATAAGGCAATATATTTGTTACTTTTTGTCTCTTTAGAAAAGATGGAAGTGGTTTATCTTCAGATGGAAAGTAAACACCAACGTTCCTGAAAGGAGGCCAACAGATAAGAAGGAAATAGAGGATCAGGATTCTGAATATCAGATGATAGCGTTCATTCAAAGAGCTGTTAAGTGCCATTTCCTCCTTTTCTGGGATTTTTTGCAGACCTTCTCACAATAGTAGAGGGGATTGATAAGCATGGGAGTTAGGAGTCAGAAAGGGACGAATTTTGGGATCTGCACAGAAAATATGATCCTCCTGTTCTGTTAAGTGTCGTTGGCCATTTTTTTTTTTTTGGTGGTGGTGACGTAAATGTTTTATCTTGCAGCAACTGAACTTTGACTTCCTGCTGGCATTAATGAACACTGCGAATCAACACCGGCTTCAGAATTCAGCATGACTCAGCAGTTACGCACAGGTTTAAGGTGGTCTTTAGCAGTCTTTATCAAAGATGGGTTTGGGACCATGTGTGGGTTCACATGATGATTTCCAAAAGCACATCCTGGACATGTTCTCTCCATTCCAGGGCCTCACAGAGAAGAACATGTATAGCTCAACATGCATGTTTTCCCACTGAGAGGAAGCTGAAGTACACAGAGAGAAGGTGAAAACTCCACACAGAAAACCCAGCTGGCGTCTGGACTGGGAACTCCTTTGCCGTGAGGTGCTGGTGCTCATCACCACACTACTGTGGCAAAACCAGACACTGGAGGCTTTTCTGAAAGCGGGAGGCTGAAAATAGCTTCCTTTTGGCTCACAGCTCGGGTCGACAGATCAAATGTGTGTTTATGTGATACTACTGTGTTGTGTAGCGTGAATTCTCCTTCTGTTCATATTTCTGCAGCCTGATGGGAAATTCTCCAGCAAAAAAAGTCATTTTTGATTTCCCCGACTGCTCACTGTGCATGCTAATGCCACCGTTTGCTGTCTCTTTATATTCCCACGACGGAGCAGGACGTAAATTCACCGGCGTTTAACGTCAGACCTGTTTAGAAATGCGGCTCTGGAGCTCTTTTGTTTTTCTGACATGCTGCAGCCGCTAATAAAAGACAACGCCTCGGATCTGAGCGCCTTTAGGTAGTATATGCTGTTGGCAAAAGCACAAATCCAACTTTTACTGGCTGCTCTTAGATCTCCACAAGGATTCGGCTTAATTCAGAGAAAGCCTGCTGTCCACACCACTGCTGTGGGTTTTCTCTTTTTTTCTCACCTTAGCAACTTAACACCTCTTCAACTCTAGCTGCTTCTCTTTTTGGTAAAAATAAAAACAACAAAACAAATAACATGAGGCCCAACCAGGTGCATGCTGGTCCGGTTCAAGCCTGTCTTCTTATAGGTGCTTAAAGCCTTAAATGGCTCATGCTCCCTTAAAAATTCAGTTTATTTCAAATCAGTTTAGAATAAACATCTTCAGTACATAAAAAATTAACATGAAAACAAAGTGAAATTAACAGAAATGGATAAACTGCTCCTCCAACAACCTTATAGTCTTTTTTAAAGACCTCAGTTCAGACTTGACACATTTGATTATGTACAAAGCGTTTATTTTATGCAAACGCGCAGGCCCAGAGGAAATGGGGATATTGTCAATAAAGTGTGAACAAAAACAAATCTGCAACGATATCCTGCATTAATGATGAGATGTGGACCTCACATTAGTCATTAAGCCGTGTAAGACTGGTCCTTAATGCTGCCCTGGGATAAAATGTGACCACATAAAGAAAACAAAAGGACCGTGGATGCTGTGAGCCGCTGCTCCGGTTTGGACCGCGTTTACTTTTGGATCAGCAGAGCGTAAAACTAACATAGGCTACCAGAAAAGCTGCTGTGTTAATGAGAGCTTAAACACCTCCTAAGGTTTAATTATCGGGTTTAAATGGGTCTTGAGGGCCCCCACAGGTATATAAATGGGATTCAATGGGACCCCAGTCAAAAAGAAGGACTTGACACACACTGATTGAAATTAAAACCTGGCATTAAAAACCACTGACAGGCTCAGTATATCATCTATATTTTCTGCAGGGTTACAGAGATCTTTGTTTCTGTTTTTGTTGCCCTGGAAGACCTCGAGGTGTCGAACAGCTCATGTTTCTATCTGGCCAAACATCAGCGGGATGCAGCGAGTGTCACGTCTCATGTCATCAGACCCAAAAGATCTCACACTGCTGACAAAACATGAGGCGGCTGGTTTTAACTCGCTCCCAATTTCTGCCCGATAATAGAAAATAGATGAATGAATTGTGGGGCATTGTTAACGGGAAGAACTGCAATTACCCAAATGAGAATACGCCCTAAATTGAATTATTTCTTTTCAATTATATCGCCACAAAGCTCCTGGTTAAGGGTTGTAGAATCAACAATGAAATTTAAAAGGAAAAAAAATGTGCAGGTGTCAACATGGTCCTGACCTTCTGTCCTGCCATTTATCATTGTTACTATTATCGTTATGAGTCGTTATGTTTGTGTTTATTGCTCTTTTTCTTTTCATTAATTAATGTTGACTCATAGGACAGTGGCAGTGTTGTGGATGCCTCCATGCTGCATGTTGCTCTGTAAATAATCTGGCTGTCCTGACCTGTTTCCTTGAGCATTTTGAAACAGAAGATTGTCAAGTAAGGACTACCCAGAGTCATTATTATGTACATTTTTGTGAGCTATCAGACACAATAAAATTATCTTAAGCCCCGTATCCCAAAAATCCTAGATTTACATTTACTTTGCTTTCAGTTGGTGGCTCTCTATGCTTAATAAATCCATGCTTGGAGTCTGTATGGATCGATACAAATGTATTCCTTATTTTCTCTTTAAATAAAGTATAATGTTTTTATGGGAAATGTATTTTTTAACTGGTTATTTCTTCTCCACATTATTCAAACCTTTGTTGTGACTTTTTATGCATTCATGATAACATTCACGAGGTAACTGAATAAAACATCAGTTTCTAGAAATGGCAGAAGCAAAACATGGATATGGAAAAATGTGGGTGATATTCTTACTCTGAGGAAGAAATCTGCACATTCAGTTTGTGTGTAAGTTGTCTCCATGCAGACTCTGGAGCAGGTTCTCTGGCCTGCAGTCAGGCCGTAAATACTTCACATGCAGGAGGATATTATGCAGGTACAGGCTCAAATTCAAAAGGGGGATTAAAAAACTAGACGCCAGCGTAAAATCCTTTGGGCTGCCATCCAATCTTTGAAGTCTCCAAAACAGGCTTTGCATAAAGGGATTCTCGGGTGAAGCTGTACCCGATTAATAATTAATGATTTACCGGTATCTTACAAGTCATCCTCGTTGGCAGAAAAAGGAGAAACCCAATATAGATATTCCCTTCAACTGTGTGAACATATAAAGCTCTTTAGTGTAAAGATAGCTTTGTAGTTCTTAAAAATATCATCAATAAAATGTAGGATAGGGGTAAGGTCAAATTATGTGAATGACGTGTTTGTTTCCCTCGCACGAACAGGATGTTCCTCCATGACAAACTCCGGCTGAAACTCGAATTATTTATCACAGGTTTGTTTTAAGTTTGACGTTTTTTGCCTATTTGAATATCATTTGTGTATTTTACGCAAGAGTGGATTGAAATCTCCAATTCTGCTATGATGTGGTCAGTCTAATAATTGGTAGATTCGTGTGTTTTTAATACTTTAGCACAGATCGGACCTAGCCAATTAAGTCGTTATTTTAGTAAAAATGAGGTAATCAGAGGGCAGTGTTTCACGCCGAATATAAAAGGAGGTTTGTTTTTTTTTAAATATCCCTGCCAACTTTTTAATCTGGCATAAGGTGTTGATATGAACTTTCCATGTTTGTTGGGAGTCAGGAGGAAGTTGGGGTGAAAACAGCAGCTGTCCTACCGTCGCATGGGGGCTCCGGCCGTAACGACACCGTCCCGTCCCGCTGGAGGAGGATGGAGGACGGGTCCTTCACCCGGCCGGCCCTTCCCGCCGGCGGGCGGGGCACTCTGAGCCCGCTGCAGCACTGGTAGCACACCGCCCATGCCTGCTCCTCGTTGATGGGCTGCTCGTAGGACTTCAGCACCTCCTCCAGAGACAGCTCCCGGGGCTCGGCCAGGTCCCGCGTCTCTCCGCGTTCCGTGGGGGCCGTTACACGTGAGTCCCCGTCCTCGGCGCTTCTGTTGGTGGATCTAGCCATGGCTGCGGTGCCACGGAGCCCATGCTTCAATTCGTGGGCTCCGAGGCCATTTGTGGTGTCCGCTACTCAGTTATGGTTCCAGCGCACCGCCGCGCGTGCTGTCATCTGCCGCAGCTGCTCGTCGTTACCTCCCGCTGTTGTCAAGGTAGCCAATGTAGCACTTCCGGTTTTGGTCTCGTTAATTAAAAATAAAATCAAAACATGGATTCAATGGGATTTTAAGGATAGTTTTAATCCTACGTGTTTTTAAAGCTTTAGAAAAAAAAAATGAATTACATTTTTGCAAAAAAAACAAAACATTTTGCTTTAACGACTTCGTTTTCCTCCCTGCTGATGGCTTAATTTACCCCATATATTTGGCAATATATTTAATATTTGGTCTTGGTGTAAATCACATTTTTGTTATTCTGAAAGGCCTCTTACAGGATTGATGATCAAAGAGATACTGAAAATGTACATTTGTTGTTGCTGTAGTTTAAAAAAAAAACAGGGTTTTTGTGAAGGAACAAGAACAGCTCTAACATATCTCTGCTCAGGGTTAAGGTAGAGGCTGCAGACAGGTGGAGTTTAAGTATAGGATAAGGATCAGAGAGCTGCTTGAATCCTGGATTTGTTATTCTGAAAGTGCTTTAATTTTTTTAGTGCAAATTTTACAGTTATTTACTTATTGTATCAGTTTACATATAGAAGACTAAAGATTAATGACAAAAATCAAAGATCATAGGCAGGTGCTGGTCATGCGTAGATCACAATCTAATGATACTCGATGTTCACTCAGGCAATTGGTTGAAAAGCTGTCCACAACTAAAACTTCTAAATGTAAGCTGTCTGGATACAGTCAACCCTTTAATAACGTGTAGGACAGCATGTCCAAGCTTCTGACTGGGTTTGTATATCCAAATTTGGCTGCTGCTGATGGGTTCAGGCCCACAGTCTGCACCAGGTCACGCTCTCAGAGAATGGTTTGTGATTGTATTTTGAAAGAGAAACCTTGACACTTCCTGTTTGAGTGTCTTTATTCCAGACACACTTGACTTTGTTTGATGCCAAATCATCAAGTGAGACACATGAGGCAGATCTGCAGGAGACATCCACACCCGGCTGCTGCATCCCTTCTCACGGAGGAGAACAAGTCCACGGTGCTGGGTTTCCACTGTTTTCAGAGGGCGTGTGATGTCGAGGATGCATGGCCGGACGCCCCAGACCTGTTAAGCTTTCCTCCAGACACACAAGTGGTGTTTGGTGCACTGTGGGTTTTTAATTAGTTCATTTTCATGTTTTTATTTGTATTTCTTTCCTGGAGATTTGATCAGGTACATCTTTTTATTCCCATTTTAGTCTACATTGAGTCTGATTAGGCTGTTTTTATTTTTGGCCATTTTGTAACTTTGTGGATATTTTGAATGTTTGAAGTTGTTTTGTGACTTTATGTCTACTTTATTTTATTTTTCATCTGTGATATTTAGATTTTTTTAAAAACATATCTTGTCTTGTCTCTGATTCTTATCTTATCTCTACTTAACTTGCATCTTTGCCTGGCATGAAACTTTTCTTTGTGGTTGAAATGTCTATCTTCATTGATGTACAAAGTTTGAGTCAATATTGGCAAAGGATAGGGATTGTACCTACAAAAAGAATTACCAAAACTACCCAGAAATAATGTGTGTATGCAACCTGAATTCATTATCTCAAAATAAATGGGGACTTTGTCCAATGTTAACTGAGCTGCAGTCCTTTCTGAATTTATTCAGACAATGAAACTGATGTCATTTAGATTTTTTATTCGAAGATAGATGAGGATGACTTTGCTGCAGTTTCCTAGAATTATGTATTTTTCTGTTCAAATGATGGATTTAGTGAAGGATACAACTGCACCAATAGTGTTAGATAAAAAAATGTAATGTTTTGTGGTAGAAAAGTGGATTTAATGAAAACAGTGGTAGTTTTGGACACCAGGGGACGCTGTGCTCACAGTTCCTACAGGACTTCTTACATTTGCTGACTTTTCTTCACCCTGCCGTCCCAGGAAGGCTTGAGTGGACCATGGTGGAGGCAACGTCCCCCCGACAGCTCTCACACAGCCCGGAGGCCAGTTTGGTTTCATTCTGCTGTCAGAAAAAGCTGCATGGCTCTGCAGGACGCCCTGGAAGCCTCAAACATTCATTCATCTTCTCTGGGAGTCCCAAAAGCACATCGCCCGCAGCCATAAAAGCTCTCCTTTGGCCTCATGAGGCCCACAATAAAAGAACACATAACACTTTCCAAGGCCTGCGCAAAACTCGACTAAAATTGTTTTGATAAATATTCAACTGATTTGTCGTGGATGATTTGATTAAGTCCAAACCACAAATATACAGACACTTTCCTCTGAAATAAGTCAAGTGATTCACTGTTTGACATGTAATTTTTGTCAAGAGTTTTTCTGGTTTTTACTGTGATTCGTATGTCTTTGTACACATGTACGACTGTTCACATCTCCCTTCCTCTTTAACTTTAGGTATCAGTTAAGTTGATCTCATAGACTAAAGTGCATTGTTATTCTCAAGAGAAATTAGAAATTTTAGCATTTGATTTGAATTTTTGTGCAGAACTCGACTCAAAAATGAGTGAAGAAATACTGTGTCCAGTTTGAGTTTAGCGCTTCAAAGAACACAGAACACTTTTAGAGGCGTGCTGCCAGAGGCATTTATTTCAGTGTTTTCATGCTCATGTGAACCATGTTTGACAGAGACTTGGCCAACAGGTGGGCCTGAACGTGGCAGAGGAAAAACAGGCAAAAGGTTGGAAAAGGCAGGGTTGACTTTTGACCTCCATCTGTGAATCTGCTCACCTAAAGTCTGATCGGCCTCCAGGGAGGTTCCTGTTCCGGGTCCTGTCATCTACTGCCCTGCTATTGGCTCTCTTTGGTATGGAGGAGTAATATTTAACTAATTGATCCCATGAAATTGATTAGGGCAGAAAAACAATAAGCCCATTCTGCCAGATGCTATTTGAGGAAAACTTAATGCAAGACTCAGACGTCCTTTGATATAACTGAGACACTCACAAAGGGACAGATCAACCTGCTCCCAAATGATGGGTCTACAAGGTCTGTTTTCTCCCCAGTCTCCTGGTGCAGGAGGAAAAAAGAAAGAATTTTAAAAAATGTCCATTACCAGAAGGAAACCTTATAAGTTCTGAACATGATTGTCTTACAATAACTTCAAATTGGATTGTACCTTTGAAGAGCCTTAAGTTTACACTTGTGCTGTATAAATAAAACCTAACTGAATCTCCCTCCGTTTCTTGGTGTTGAGGTGCCCTCCACCTTTTAACTTTTGTTTGTCTCTG